CGGCGTTTCCGCGGCGGGCGCGGGGCTACGCGCCCCTCGGTCTGGCCGGGAACCTTCCCTGCGGCTCTGAGGTCACCGCCGCGTCTGGCCGCGTTGATTGCGGGCTCGCTGGCCAGGGCGAGGCGGAGCGCGGGGGCCTGCTGCCGAGATAAGGGGCTATCAGGCCACGCACGCGCCGAGCCCGCTGCTCGCGGGCAGGAAACGGTTCAGAGCTTTTTCATTTAGTGCAGCTGGTCAGGATCAAGAGTTGTTCCAGTTTGATAAACACGTAACCCGGGATGAATTTGTACACGGGTTACGTCTGTAACTCTGGGCTGAGGAAATCCTGAGAAGACTTATCTGCCTGGAGCTAAAGGCACAACTGAGGTTTGAATGACATCTCGCCCTCCCTGCAGTTACGTGCGCTAGGGTAAGGATGGCCCGCAGGGAGACGAGCGAGGAGGGGACACCAGCAGGTATGCAGTGCCGCAGCCCACCAGGAAACAGCTCCCGGGTCCCCTTCCCTGTCGGCATCCGTGGGCGGTGGTACTATCCTGCTTTACGCTCGAGGCAGCGCTTGGACCCTGCGCCTGCCTGGAAGGGGTGGCGTGAAGGAAGGCTGGCGGGGCCGCGCAGCTGGCCTCTTCCGCCTGCTCGCCTCTCGTGCCGCTCTGGCCTGGTCGTGCCGTTCCCGCTGGTCCTGCCACGCGTTCTCTGTGTCCTGCTCCCTTCTTCTGCTTCTGGCTCCTAAAGGCCTTTTTCTGCTCCGTGCCTGTTTTAGTGGGACCTGTTTGCCCCAACACGTTTCCTAGTAGGAAAGGGTGTATTAGTGGAAGCCTCCTCCCTGCTCCTTTCCAAGATATGCAACGGTTAAGGCAAATCCAGGAAGCTCAACTCACTTGTCGGACTAGCCAGATCTGCCGTTTCACTTGCCGTGCTGTCCAGTCTGAACTGGGTATCCCCGTCTCATGCAGAAGACACCTGGGCACCACTGGCTGAAGGAGGTTCGTAGGTACACAGACCTCCTCTGTGTCTGGACCCGTCTTGGCCCCTCGCTTATGCTGCCAGGAGCTCTGAGGTCAGAACGGACAAGTTCTGGCAGCGCTCGCTGGAGCTAGCACGGGAGACACCGGCGCGCTTAGCTGAACAGTTCTTTGATTAGTGATCTAATCCCAAGGAGAGTGATTACACAGTCCCCTGTTCTCTTCCTGGCAGCCAAATGCATGCGAAAAATAGGTTAAATTGCCTGATTACAGCGGTTCCTCAAAGTGAAGGGCTGGCACTGGCACCACAAGCCCAAGAGAGACGTCACCCTGATAACGTGCAAGGGTGTTGTGTGTGTTTTCTGAGCACTGGGAATGAGCTGTTGATTGTGGACTGGAACTTTCTGCTTTCAGCCCAGGTCTGAGTCCAGCTTGCTACCTCAGGACCGGGTCAGGAAGGCACCCGTAGCGAACCTAACAGTCTCTCTTGTGGTCGTTCCTGTTCTTGCCCTGTGCAGAAGGGAACGGAGAGTTGCGATCGGTTTTCTCTCCCTCTGGACACTGCCCCGGGGCCAGAAGCAGCCGAACGTGCCGTCCCTGGAGCGCTTGCCGTGTCGGAGGTGGTGGGAATTCCCTTGCAGAGCAGCAGCATTTCTCTCTGCGGATAGATTCATTTTCCTATTTAATTGAGGAAGCGACCGGTCTGCGCTGAGTGGTGCTGAGATCGATATCCCACCCTGAGGGGCAGGCCCCAGCGGCTGCGCCGGAGCTGCGCGGTGTCCGGATTCGCCTCCGTTCTGGCGGCTGTAGAACGACACTCGACGTTCCCCCTCGCTGCTCTGTGGATCAAGTGGAGGATTTTCAGCTAGAAAAGACTGAAATCTCCAGCTTTGCTGAGAGCTGCAGTCAGGACCGGATAAAAGTAAAAGCAATTACTTTTTAAGCAGGGAACTTTTAAAACCTGACATATGTTAGATGGGTAGGAAAGCTACAGCCCTGTTTCCCGCGGCTTTGACGGGCTCTGGAGGAGAGGTGAAAGTCAAAAGATGGGGCATGAAGGATGGTTCTTCACGTGTCTCCTCCTCCTGCCTCCCCTGGGGCTTTGGCAGATGGTCCCCTGGCTTGTGCACGGGCTCTTTAACTTTGTGCAGCCTGCAAGACGCTGGAGGAGAGAGGTCAGTAGGAAGCGGGAAGCCTGAGAGATGCCACGTGGGAGGCGTTTGCGTGGGGAGCTGGGATACCCCCCCCTTTCTGGATGTGGATCTGGTGAAAAGGGCAGATGTTTTTGCCCTGGCAGAACGGTGCATCTGAATAAAACACTTCATTTGGCAGAGTGGAGTCCAACTGTGTCATATTTTACAACACAACAGTCTTCCACACCAGGAACATTGTGTGTGCCACACCTATCAGCCCGTCTGTCCTGGCCTTTTGTCTTTGGCAACAATCAGCCTCTGGTGCTTTGGGACAAGGGGCACTTCCTCCCAGGAGGCACCAAGCGGAGTGCTGCGGAGGGGCAGACCTTAGACGTGCATGCTTCAGCCTTGGGTGGCTGTTCTCCCGCTAGCACATGCCCTGAGCACGCTCTTGGGAGCACCGCACGTAGGTAAGGATGTGGTCCCGTCTCTCAACTCACCAACCCAGGCTGCACATTAGCAGTTTTCAAGCAAAAAAGAGACATCCGATCACATTCTCCTCTTGGGGCAGTTTTACCTGGCTCCTTTGTTTTGCGAGCCGGGCAAGCAGGGATGAATGAACGGGGTCATGTGAAGGTAGCACAAGCCTGCCTGTGCCCGGGAGATTAGCAGTTTGACACTCGGCCTATCCAGGGCTGCTGCAGAAACAACATTTCATTAAATGCGCCCGCGGGGGGGGGGGGGGGGGGGATTTGTGGGGCTGCAGCTGTGCTAGACGTGGGCTGCAGCGGTACTGTGAGTCAGGGCTGCACCCAGGGATCACTCGCTGTCCTCCTGCATACGCCAGGTTAGCATTTGAAATCTGTGTGGAGGACATTGCTGGGCTACTATTTCAATCCTCCCCTTAATGTTTCTCTTATCGTTGAATAGAAACAATCTGATCCTAGGGAAAATAAATTAATGTCGGCTTCAATTGCTTTGTATTTTGTGTAAACAGTTCCACTAAGTAGAACAACTTCTTAGTTTAAACCGTAGAGACAACAAGCTCTTGTCTGCGCTCTGGGTTAGTGCATGGCTGGAACAGACATTCATACCTTAATATTTGCATGGCCCTAACTTTAGGATTTCACCCAGTAGCAAACTGAGAGGTTGGGCTGTCAAGCTGAGCAGACAGGCGCGGGACCCGATAGCTTGTCAGAACAGCGAGCGGCAGGAGGTGCTCCCCATAACCTGGGAGAGGGACAGCTGCTGTTTCTTGTAAACCCGCTGCTCTGAAATCTCAAGTTAAAAGCTCTAAGTAAATGTCTAAAACAAGCACTTCCCTACAGCTCAGTGTAGCCTGCGTCACCCTGTCTGATGCTTCAATTACACTAGCCCCATTGCCAGGATTGTTTCCAACGCTGCTGGAGAGCAGAGCGCTGGCTCAAGCCTGGGAGGGAAAGGGGCTGGCAGCCGCTTCTAGCTCTGCAAGGAGGGGATGGCCGTTGCACAGCAGCTGGGCTCAGAGCTAGGCTTGCAGCAGGGGAAGGACGGGGCACATGCCCTGCCTTGGGACCTGCAGCCATCCCAGCACCTTGTGCCCACGCGCAGCCCGTGTGCGGAGCCTGGTGCCTGGGATGCAGTGCCTGGTGCTGGTGTGCGGAGCCCAGTGCCAGGGTGCCAGGGACTGTGGGCCGTGCACAGAGCGGTGCTGGGGGCTAGGGACGCTGCATGCAGCTCCTG